CTCTCTCTCTCTCTCTCGCTCTCTTCCTCCCTCCCTCCCTCTACGTTTGATGCTCTTCAGTCTCCCCCTCTCTCACTGCTTCTCTCTTGTCTCTCCCTCACTTTCTTCCCCCACCCTCTCCATTTCCCCCTCTCTCTCTCCCTCTCTTTTCCTCTCTCTCCCTCTCCCTCCTCTCTCTCCCTCTCACTCCCTCTCTCTCCCTCTCCCCCCCCATCTCTCCCCCTCCTCCCCCCTGTATTTCTCAGTTCTCAGTACTGGGTTACCCGATAATCGGTAGAAGTAAGGACCTGGGGTCCAAATAGCTCCTATCGAACACCCTGACCTTCCAGATTCTGAAGTTGGCGCCACTTTTGCCGGAAAAGTCCAATCCCCCACGTAGGAAGAGGTGGGCGTTGTCGGCGGAGAACCACAGGTATCCGTCCGTGTCGATGGTGAAAGAGTCCGGCCACACAAGGCGCTGGTGGTTCTGCGCTATTTCGTCCTGCGCCATCATCTTCACGTGCCCCACGTCCACGCCCTGCTCACGAGCCTGTCGCCTCACGTCCCACTTGTACACCGCGTCTTTGGTGAGCGCGCCGTAGTAGAGGCTCCTCTTCCCGTACGTCATTCCGCCCGTCTGGGAGACTTTCGCGCCAACCAGCCTCACAGACGACGCGAAATCCACTCGCCCGCTCGCTCTCAGCGCCCTAGCGTCGACTTGGTACAGATCTTTGCTGCCCAACGCGCAGTAATACACGTAGCGGAAATCCCCGGAGATGGCTAGGCCGTCGATGGGCGTGACCATTTTGTAGGTCACGTTAGACACGGTGATGTTGGAGCCCACTCCGGGGTCGGCATCGAAGGACTTATGGTAGAAGGAGCGGGTGATGTTGGTGTAGAGGTCGAAGGAGTAGAGCTTGGAGTCGGTGGCGTCTGTAATGTACACGTAGCGGACGTAGCGCCGGAAGAAGGGGCTCACTCGGTCAAGGACGATGTCGTTGAGGAAGTTGGTTTCCTTGGCAACCACGTCTTCCGGGAACTCGTGGCTCCGAACGAGACTGCCGTCTAAAAATAAACAGGAATGGGGGTAAAAGTAGGTAAAAGTAAGTATCATACCATTCGAATATGTAGGTACATTTTACGCCCCCCCCACAATCAATGGCGTCGGTGGCTTAGTGGTAAGATAATCGTACGATTGCGGGTTCGGGGATTCGAGCATCAGCTCGGTTCGACGTTGTGTCCTTAGGAAAGGTACTTTACACGAATTTCCCACTTGGCTCGGTCTTTTCGGAGGTACCATCTGTTAAATAACCTAATAGTATTGATAGGGGCGTTAAACCTATACAGTTTCACCATTTTTCACGCCTCCACCAACACAGTTTAAATAATTTTGAAGACATGCTTCCGACCTTGCCTGTCAGGACCAAGTCGGGCTGAAAGAGGTACAACGTCACAGCAGAAAGACCAAAATACTCAATAAGAATCCTCCCCACTAGAGAATTGAACTTGGGTCTCCTGCGTGCGACAGCGAAGTGTCTGACTGCTACACCGCAAGCGCCGGTATTATACATGAACTGTTATAATACTTACTTTATTAAAACAATCAGACGAGTTTGTGAATACCGAAGGCAAACAGTTTGAGTTTGAGTATCTGGGGGGGGTTAAGCGGGTGATTGGAGGACGCTACGAGTAGGTCCTACTTCTTTTCTTTCCCTATGTTGTTTCTGTCTATCTGTCTCGATTCTTCCCTGTACTATGTGACCGTTATTTTGTTGATAGATAGACAGACAGGGGTCGTTGGCGAGTGCTCTCGTGTGGTTCGCTCCTTCTTTTCTATCAAACCTCTATCGTCCTTATCTCCTCCTTTTTTTTCGTTGTTTCCGTTCTGTTAGTTACTCTCTTGTAACACCTCTATTCTTCGGCATTTATATGACCTAATTGTGTTGCAAGTACTGTAAAACACTTACTAAAGCTAAAACTACCCCCCCCCTTTCCCACCCCTTCCCTCACCATTGAAGTAATAGACAAGTTTGGCCGGACACCACGATTGATCAATCAGATCTGATCCCCCCCCCCCCCCCCGCGGGTTCCCCCTTCCCCTTCCCTCCCCTCACCATTGAGGTCGTAGACGACAAGTTTGGCCGGACACACAGTGACGTTCCCGCCGTGGTGTTCACCAGGTGGCGCGAAGATCCCGGCCCGACCCGCGTCGATGACGTACATGAGTCCGGTGGCTGGGTCGACCTCCATGCTCATGGCGCACTGTGGGGAGGAAAAGATACCGACATGTTTTTGTAAGAATGTTACGGCTTTTGCAACACAAATAAGTCATATAAGTGCCGAAGATTAACGGAGTTTCGACGGAGTAACATACAAAACGTACACACACACACACACACACACACACACACTCAGACACACACACACACACACACACACACCTAAACACACACACA